ATGTAAATACTCCTTATAAGTTACTTGTAGATAAGAGAGTAGGAGACTAAGATATAGATATGAACGCCAAAGCTTGAAGATGACATGACCCTCTCCCTGTTTTTAAAAGATCCTAATGGAGCAACTAGATATGTTAAATCGTTTGTAATTTTCCGACCAAAAAAAAATCGTTTGTAATTTGAGCTCATGTCATATCGTTGCATGTAACGACGACTTTCCTCGAATCACCACTTTCCCACTCGATCATAAGCAAGCTTACTTTTGGGCCCATAACAAATTTTTTTTTTCTAAGCCCAGCTCAGCAACACACTTTAATTAATCAAATTTGTTTCCTCCGGTCAACTTCCAAACCAGAAATCAAATTCATCGAACCAAGAACAAATTCCACACACCTAACAATAACATGTCTCTTTCTAAATATTTTGATCCATAATTTGATTTGGTCAGTTGATATATAATTTAAAAAGTCGCGTGTGTTGTAATGTTGTTGCCTTGTTGGGTGCATTTTTTGAAACTGACTCATAAAATCACCAAAAATACAGATATTCCCCCAGCTAATTTAAATTATTGAACTTGCACCACCCAATTTTTAAAACACACATATGAGAACCTTCTTGGAAATGAAACAACAAACGCAGTCTCTGTCTTGTAAGAATTGTACCACCACAACAAAAAATTGATCCTTTTTTCTGTTCCCGCCGTAAATAATTTCCTCACAAAGCTCTCATTTTTTTTTTTTGGTTTGAAATGGGAACATGGAAGAAGAAGAGCAGTTATAAGAACAAATTCAGCTACATTTCACAGATCATAAACTCTGTTTCTTCATCATCTCTACACTCTTTTCTCGATTCTCCAGATAATAACAAATCTTCAAAGAAGAACACAAGCAAGTTCCTCAGAAACCCAAAGCTATGGGCTTTCTTTCTCTTTTCACTCTCTGTTTTAGGGATTTTATTAAGACTTGGTCTTTGTCTTTCTCCTCTCTTGCAAGAAAGTCAACTCCAAAGCTCGGATTCATCAAATGGGTCACCTAAATCCCATCTGGGTTTTGCGTATACACGATCAAACATTACTCAAGCTGAGATTTCGATTGCAAAGGATCGATCTTTGGATAGGATTTTGAAGAAAAATGAAACCTTTGGTGGTGAATCGAAGTTGGTTGGAAATGGACATGTTTGGGATGATAAGAATGAGTTCTGGAAACAACCTGATGGATTAGGTTACAAGCCATGCTTGGATTTCAGCATTGAGTACAGAAGAGAGACTAAGAAGATTGCTAGAGAGAAGAGAAAGTATCTTATGGTTGTTGTCTCTGGTGGGATGAATCAGCAGAAGAATCAGATTGTTGATGCAGTTGTGATTTCGAGGATTCTAGGTGCTATTCTTGTTGTTCCAATATTGCAAATTAATCTCATTTGGGGTGATGAAAGGTAAAATTATAATAAAAGAAAAATTCTGATACATGGATCATAAGGATATGTTCAATTCATCATTTTGAATGTTTTTGCAGTGAGTTCTCAGATATATTTGATTTAGAACAATTCAAGAGTGTTTTAGCAAATGATGTGAAGATTGTTTCGATGCTTCCAGCGAGCAAAGTAATGACTAGACCATCAGAAGATGGTGGTATGCCTTTTCAAGCTTCCCCTCAATGGATCCGTTCGCACTATCTAAAGCGCGTAAGATCATTTGATCATCAATGAGTGATGGAAAAATGAGAAAGAATGTTCAGTGATTATTGATTCCACTCAATGGTCTTTGTTGTTTCCTGCAGTTCAACAAGGATGGAGTTCTGCTTTTAAAGAGATTCGATTCAAGATTGTCTAAAGACTTACCCTCTGATCTCCAGAAGCTCCGTTGTAAGGTATGTTTCTGATTCGGAAGCAAAAGGTGTTTGTATTTGTTTTTATATTTCTCATTTACCAAAAAATGTGTTTCAGGCAGCATTTGAAGCACTGAAGTTTTCGCCACGGGTTCTGGAGATAGGGAAGAAGCTTGCAGAGAGGATGAGGAGCAAAGGGCCATACATTGCGCTTCATCTTCGATTGGAGAAAGATGTGTGGGTGAGAACAGGCTGCCTTTCTGGTTTGAGCTCAAAGTATGAAGAGATTGTAAACATAGAACGGATTAAGCGTCCCGAACTCTTAACAGCTAAATCTAGTATGACATCAGACGAGAGGAAGCTCGCCGGTCTCTGTCCATTAAATGCCAAGGAAGTAACAAGGTAAATGAGTGAGCTACTTGTTTTTATTAACAAGGTTTTGTGTGTTGAGAGATGCATTGATTTTTCAATTCTACCTTTTGTTTTCAGGCTGCTTAGAGCACTAGGAGCACCAAGAGATGCGAGGATTTATTGGGCGGGAGGCGAACCACTTGGCGGAAAAGAAGCTTTGAAACCATTAACAAGTGAATTCCCACACCTCTACAACAAACACGATATTGCGTTACCCCTTGAACTCAAACCTTTTGCAAAACGAGCTTCGATAATGGCATCGATTGACTATATCGTGTGCAAGGAGAGTGATGTGTTTATGGCGTCTCATGGAGGGAACATGGGACACACGATTCAGGTACACATTGCTAATGCTAAGTCTCGATTTTTCCAACACATTCTCAAGGTAAGGTGTTAAATGAATCTTTCAGGGTCACAGGGCTTATAATGGACACATGAAGATTATAATACCAAACAAAAGGCAAATGCTCCCTTACTTTTTGAACACAACAATTACTGAAACAGAGTTTACGACGATGATAAAGAAATTACACAGACAATCTCTAGGTCAGCCAGAACTAAGGATAAGCAAAGCTGGAAGAGATGTTACAAAGTATCCTGTTCCTGAGTGTATGTGCAATCAATCCAATTCCACTATTTGAAGCTTCCTATTTAGCATTTAAAGTGTCTGTTTACTCCACTTTCAATGCTATATTTTGAAACTAAATTCTTTCTAACATGATATTTTCATTAACAAGATTATCTTAGCCAAAAAAAGAATTAGATACTGCGATTCACATAGAGGCAAAAAACATATTACGATTCATCCAATACTTATTCAGCAAAAAGTTTCAATATCTTTCAAAGAAACAGAAAAAAAAAAACAAATCTTTCACAATGAGACTACGAAGGACACAAACTTGAAGCTTCTAAAATCAGTAAGATTTTCCACAATGTATCAAGCTTCCCGCACCTAAAAAGAGCCCGAAGATTGCCGCACTACCGATGGTTGTTTGGCCTATGTATCTGATCTTCATAAGCCCAGGAACCTACAAACATAAAGAACGTTTTGATAATCAGAACGTAGAACGTAATTTGCGATATATGAATCCCACACAGTTATATGAATCTTTTAAGATTGTTTCTCACATCGTGACAAAAGCAATTCTAGTCTAGACATCTTTCTAATCCAACTTTAAGCTTTCAAAACTTTGGCCTATGTATTTAATCATATATAGCTCACAAACAACACAACAAGAGCAATAAGAACTGGAAGTAAGCAAGGTTTCCACTAAAACAAGGTTCTCTAAAATGATAACATAGCTACATAAGTCTATCAAAGTGAAGACAGACAGACATAAGGCTGAGCTTTGATACAGAAACAACAAGAGACCTATGTATGTTCTTTCTAAGCATTGTTTCCAGTAAGTCAGAAAATTTGCAAGAGTTTTATCTAACAAGAACCCAAATTTACAAACTTGAAAAAGATTACATTGAAAAATCGGC